CCAAAAAACTAGCTCTTCAGCAGAACATTTCAAACCTCAATTGTTCTAAGTCCAAAGCTCCCCAGGTGGCCCTCGTCCCAGGGCAATCCAAGAACAATTTTTCCTGGAGGAGCCATAAATTCTACTTTGATCATTATTCCTGTCTCCATGATTCACATTAGAAGCAGTTAAGAATCTCTGTATCAAGAGAACCTGATCCAAGTTCCTGGCATTTCCTAGGCAGATAATTCAGCATATTTAAACACTGATACCTCTTCCCACAGAACCGACTTCACTGGGACATGTCCTCCCATAGTTCTCTGCTGTTTACTGCTTCGATTCTGCCCTCTGGATTTAGCTGTGCTGGGACTATCTGGCCTCCTCGCTGATCGCTTGTTCTTCCGTACACTTACCTTTCCAGCTCTGTGTACTCCTTCCTACCTCAGGTGCAGAATATTCTCACTGGTCAGCCTTGGAGACCAATCCCAGGTGCTGTCCATCTGCCACGCACAGTGCCCCAAGGGAAGATTTGAAGTAAATCCAGTTATTCATGGTGTCATGAGAAGAGATACCAGGTGTGTTTATTGAGACTTCACCCATTTCCCTCCAGAGCAAAACAAGAAACGGGGAGGCAACAGGCAGGTGGGATACCAGTTAAAGCAGTGGCCAAGCAGAAGGCCAAACAACAGCAGTGGATATGGAGAGCTATGCCTGTCAGGAATCCATTGGTTTGAGGGACTGAAGAGTCTCATAGGCAAAGAACATACCTCAAGGGAGATGAAACTAGATAGAGAAACTTGATTAATTTACAAATATTAACACTTGTGATGAGTATTGATATTTACCACTGTGATTGATGAATGTTTCCCACTGCTTTATCCTTTTCCATGTAAGTGTGCAGACCTCTCCCTCTCTCACTCTGGGTCCAGCCTTATAGTCAGTCAAATGGCAACCCCATCCAAACCCAACCCACTTCCATCCTGATGATGCAGTCTCATAGCGACCCTCTTGGACGAGTAGAACTGCCCCGTGGGGTTTCCAGAGCTGCAATCTTTATAGAAGCAACTGCCGCATCTTTCTCTCAGAGTGGCTGGCGAGTTCTAACTGTTGACCTCTTAGTCAACAGCTGAGCATGTTGACCACTGTGCCCCCAGGATGCCTTGAGCCGGTAAACAGACACATGAAGAGTCACTTTCGTCTTTCCACCTCTTACACTGCTGTGTTTGTCATAAGGACATGCCAAGGCTAGCCTGCTGGAGAACTTTGATAGAATTCTTGCCTTCCATATGGGAGCTCTGGTAGTGTAGTGGTTATGAATTGGGTTGCTAACCTCAAGGTCAGCAGTTCAAAACTACCAGCTGTTCCACTGGAGAAAGATGAGGTGTTCTGCTCCCGGGAAGATTACAGCCTTGGAAACCCTGTACAGGGTCACTATGAGTCAGAACCGATTCCACTGCACACCACCACCACCGCCATACTGGAGACCAGGAATCAATTCCCAGCTAATGTATCTCATGTACAGCAACCAGGTGTTCACTTGCTAGTGGAAGCTTACATGTTGCTACCATGTTGAACACATTTCAACAGATTTTCTCAATGAAGACAAACTACATACGAAGGCCTGGTCATCTTCCCCAAAAAGATTCAATAAAACACTATCTGCAACTGACCACAGCCTGGCACAGGGCCAGGAAGCATTTTGCTCTGCTTGGCATGGGGTTGCCGTGAGGCCTACTCAACAACAACAACATGATTGTCTTATTAAAGACACTATCGGCACAGTCGTTGTGTAGAAGAGGGTTTGTGCGTATGGGTATAGGTGGCTAATGGGAAGGCAAGAGAGAAAAGCCTAAGTCTGTTGTTGTGAATTTACTGAGGTGCAATGACTCAGGAGACTGAGGCACCTAGTGTCCATGACATTGACAAACAGAGCAGTTGTCCCAAAAGTCAGTGAACAGCAACACTTTCCCAGGGGGCCTGGGTAAACACAGGGCGAGCAGTGTGGTGCAGTGAGCGATTTGAGTTCACAATCAGACTCTGCCATCTCTTGGCTATCTGATCTTGGGCAATTCATTCAACTGTGTCCTGGTGTGATGCTTTAGGATAAGCACTGGATTGCTAACTGCAAGTTCGGTGGTTCAAATTCACCAGTCGCTCCTAGCAAACAGTATACAGAGTCGCTATGAGTCGGAACCGATTCGATGGCAATTACCGGTGACAACAACAACAAAGTCAGTCAATGAGTCTCTTTCTCTGCAAAAGAGGAAATGACACCTTCCCATGTCCCCATCATGGTTGTTGCAGGCTCCACTGGGCCAAAGTACACAAGAAGAATACCCTGGGCAAGGGCCAGGGGCTGTTCACCAAGCCTACATGACTACTGTCTTGTAGTCAACCCGCCTCCTGATCATACTGTTTCCTAAGCAGCTATAACAAGACTTGCTTTCAAACCTACCAAGTATTTGGCAGAAAAGCAATTGAGTTAGGCTCTTTTAAAAATAAATGTGAACATGCATGAAAGGGCTTCCTATGCCCCAACTGGAAAGGAAAGTGTGCCATGATGGATTCAGGTGAGAAGTAATGACACTCTCTGGTTTGCTGATCTCAGTCAGGAGGCAAATTCTTGGCGTCTGCGAGTCCTACTGTGGCAATGCACGATAATGCGCTGGACTGCAAGGTCGGTTTGAACTGCAAAGTCAGCGGTTCAAACCAACCAGTTGCTCCTCAGAAACCCTACACAGGGTCACTATGTAACTGACTCAATGACACTTAACAACAACAACAACAATCCTATGATAATGAAAGAATTCATCTAAGGAGCACAGGAGATGTTTGCAGCTGAAAGAATTTGCTTAAAAATCAATTCAACATTCAGAATAACCAATGGCTTTTGGTAAAGCAGTGTGGCATATTTATTGGGCTATTCATAGGTAAGCTAAAACACGTTGAAGGGAGAAAACTGGAGGTCATCAGTAATGTCAAAGACAAAATAGTTAGCATTTCTTATTTTCCAAATTTAAAATCATTACAGCCGAGGACTAAAGGAAATTTGTTGACTTAGCTTTAATGGTGCCATTTGTTTTTAGTAACAAGAAGTACATACATTTAACCAATAACTTTTAGGACACTAAGCCAAAAAGAAAACTATGTTTTTTATGCAGCTAAGACAAGAAAGTTATCTATACAAATTAAGTCATACAAAATACATTAAAAAGGAACACACATACAAAAGTCATTAAGTTGCTCAAGAGTAGGACTGCCACAGAACACCACACTGAGAGCATTAGTGTGAATTCATTTCAGCTATGAAAGTAGGTCCCAAGTTCGGTACACATTTACTGAGGTAAAGGCACAATCACTTCAACATAATTAATGGGGAAGAATCCAGATTCTCCGTGTAGCATTCCTTCATACCAATTTTCATCTATTTGATTAGTCAGAGTAATGATGTCCCCTTCTTTAAATCCTAGTTCTCCTTGGTTTTCTGGCTCAAAGTCATAGAGACCACGACAACAGGGTTGATCAGGAATGTTAGAACCTGTTCACAAAAACAAACAAACAAAAAAGCACAGGTTAACATGACAAATTGTACATGGAAATGTGAAGACTTTGGAAGGGTCTCTGTGTGCCTTCCCAACTATAAGGGGGGTTCCTCTCAGCTCTGGGCTCTGCTCAGCTGCTCCAGTCACACGATGCGTGAGCTGACCTCCAGGGCCCAGTGATCTTCTCATCAGTATTCGGAGCCAGAGAATTTTGGCCTAGCCCTCCTCCTCGAAGCAGTTACCCTGCTCTACCTGGAACCTTGAGGGAGGTACACAAGAACCACAGACCCATCCTTACTGCCTGCCGGAGCTTAGAGTGTCTTTGTGGAGACTGGCCAAAGGCATGGGAAACCTTGAAAAAGCAAGTACGAGGAGGTGTGTATCGCATATGGTTCAGAAACTTGTAGGAGAGGGAAGGCCTAGGAAAACCTTCTTAGAGTTGATGGTCCGGAGCTGGAACATGGGCAGGATATGGAACCAGAGGGGAGGAACTGATAGAAATATGCACATATTACAGCTGAACTAATGTCTCAGGGTTATTGTAGCGCTCAGAATAACAATTTTTCAATATTTTATTTCATTTCAAACTAAAACATGGTCATTATAAAAAATGCAAAAGAATGAAGACAATATATACAAAATTGAGAAAAGTCAGCAATAAGCCAAAGATATTGTTATTAAGTGACTGAGTCATAGCGATCCTGTATGGGGTTTTAGAGGAGTGGTTGGTGGGTTTGAACTGCTGACCTTGTGGTTAGCAGTCCAGTGCTTATTCTACAGCACCACACCAGGACTCCAACTCAGAGATAATCAAGGTTAAATTAACATTTTGACATAAAGAAACTTCCAGATTTCTGTATGAAATATTTGTAATGTATTTACATATAGCTGTTCCCATCAAAGTCTTGTTCATTCCATATGAACATCTTTCCAGATTACTTTTAATTACTACCAGTTGTCAACTCCTTATCATTTCTTTAACGGTTCTTCCTCCCTCCCTTTGTGTCTTTCTTCCTTTCGTTTTCTTTCCCTATCTCTTTTTTTTCCCATGCGCTCTTGGCTTTCACAGATATATACCCTAGTATATATATATATTTACAAATATGCACAATGAATGATTTAGGAGAAATTCCTATAAGGGGATTTGTTGGTCACAGGACATGAATTTTTCTGACTTTTAATATTCGTTATCAATTTAGTTTTCTAAAATATTTGAAGCGCTCTCTGTTGCGCTACCACAATTAGCACTTTATAGGTCATGTTTGATCCAAATATTGCTCCTACGTATTAACTAGTTAATTAATAATTAATTAATTATGTCTTTGTACTGTGTATTGGTGGTGGACTATAAAGGGGGTTTCTGCTTTGTTTTGGCATACATATAGAAATTTAGAGGATCCTGATGTGGTGCTGTAGAGTTAGCACTCGACAATAATATCAGTTTGAACCGCAAAGTCGGCAGTTCAAACTCATCAGCCACTCCTTAGAAACCCTATACAGGGTCTGTATGAGTCAGAACCAACTCAATGGTAGTTAACAACAACACAGAAATTTAAAACAGTATAAGCAATCATCTTGACCAACGTTTGCATTTATAGTTGATCCTCCACAGTTATATATGAATATGCAACTACATTTTATTCTAGTATTAATATTTCTTTTCATGTGAAAGTTTTTACTTGTAATACATTGGTATTTGAATGAAATTCAGGCCTTTTTTTATGATAAGGCTTACAGTTATCTACAACACCATTCATTAAGAAATCTATTGTTTCTCTACTGATTTCAATACTATCTTACTAGCCTCTATCTTATTCATACATGTAATTATGTGCATTTTTGCTCAATTTTAGTGTTTTCTCTTTTACTCCACTAATTCATTTTGGTAAGAGTCAGAGTTGATAGCAATGAGTTTTCATTGAAGTAAAAGAGTTGAACATAAATATTTCATAGGGTGGCTAGAGAAGACACAGTAAAGAATTATAGTGAAATGTGCAAAAACCTAGAGTTAGAAAACCAAAAGGGAAGAACTGAAGAAAATATTCAAGCCTTGAGTTGCAATGTTGAAAGATTCTATGGGCAAAAGTTGAATGATGCAGGAAGCATACAAATAAAATGGAAGGGATACACAGAACTACTGTACCAAAATGACCTGGTCGCCATTCAGTCGCCTCAGAGGTAGCATATGATCAAGAAAAAATGTTACTTAAGGAAAAAGTTCAAGTTGAACTGAAGGCAATGGTGAAAACCAAAGCGCCAGTAATTGATGGAACACCAACCAAAATGTTTAAACAAACAGATACAGCAATGTGTGTGCTCACTAGTACATGCCAAGAAATTCGGAAGACCTGGCCATCCAATTGAAACAGATCTATATCTGTGCCCATCTCAAAGAAAGGCGATCCAACAGAACGCAGAACTTATCAAACAAATATAATATCACACACATTTTAAATTTTTCTGAAGATAATTCAAAAATAGTTGAGGCAGTCCATCAACAGGAAACTGCCAGAAAGACAAGCCAAATTTAGAAGAGAACCTAGAACTAGGGGTATCATTGCAGATGGCTGACGGATCTTGGCTGAAAGCAGAGAATATCAGAAAGATGCTTAACTGTGTTTTATTGGCTGTGCAAAAGCAATCAACTGTGTGGATCATAACAAACTATGGGTAACATTGCAAAGAATGGGATTCCAGCACACCTAATTGTTCTCATGCAGAAACTATACATAGACCAAGAGGCAGTTGCTGAAACAGAACAATAGGAAAGCGCTTGATTTCAAATCAAGAAAAATGTGTATCAGGGTTGTATCCTTTCACCATATTTATTCAGTCTGTATGCTTAGTAAAATAATCTGAGAAACTGGAGTATCTGAAGAAGAAAGAGGCATCAGATTGGAGGAAGACTCATTAACAACCTACGATATTCAAATGACACAACTTAGCTTACTGGAAGTGATGAGAACTTGAAGCACTTACTGATGAAGATTAAAGACTTCAGTATGGATTACTCAACCAAGAGAACAGTAAAACCCTCATAACTGGGCCAATGTGCAGCATTATGATAAATGGAGAAAAGACTGAAGATGTCAAGGATTTTATTTTGCTTGGATCCACAACCAACACTCATGGAAGCAACAGTCATGAATGCACAGTCTCTTATACCTGCTTTGTGACATGTAGTAGTGACTGCGCTGTAGTACAGCTGTTTTAGCGATGTTATTCTAGGATGCTTTCTTTCCAGATGACGATTGAGAAGCTAATTAAGAAACAAAAAATGGTGCCAGGGACCACAACAGGAACAGAATGTGCTGTTTCCTGAGGTTTTGTTTGATACATTTTCTTTCTTTCTTTCTTTTAATGCAGTGTGCTGGATGGCTCCGTAAGTTTTATCAGATGACTGCATAACCTGGAAAGTTGTTGCTGCGATTGGTCTTCATGTATAAACATAAATATAAATATGTATTTGTTGTTGTTGTTGTTAAGTGCCATCAAGTCAGTTCTGATCCATAGCAACCCTGTATAGGGTTTCCAAGGAGCAGCTTGTGAGCTTGAACCACTGACTTTGCAGTTCAAACGGCTTTGCAATCTGGC